CCCACGGGGAAGCCTATGCGGGGAGGCGGGGGGAGGGGTGGGAGGCCCAGGGAGAGGGGCGATGCCTGGAGGGGGATGGTTGGTAGGGGGCGAGGGGCGGCCTGGAGGTGGGCGATGGGCGGGGCGCGGCGAAAGGGGAGCCCGGCACGCAGAGGGGAGGCAGGGAGACTGGGCGGCCTTAGGTCCTAGTTCCCAAACAGAGATGATCTGCACCTGGTAAGGCTTCTGCGCTAACGGAGCCCCTTCCCGGCTCACAGAGGCTCAGAGGCTGGGAAGGGTCCCAGTGAGTAGTATGAAAGCATAGCGACTGGAAACAGACACGCCTGCGGCTCCCTGCACATCCCCAGTGCTCTACCCCCATCCCAGGTCCTCTGCAGTGAGGTGGGGGGCCTATGACCACCTGTGGTCAGTGGGTTGCGATCTGGACCGCTTCTGGGGCTGCTATCCAGGGAGCAAGGACGAAAGTCTCCTTTAGACCTCGCCGAACAGTCATGGTGGTGAGAGGAATAACTAACTGGATGACAGCTTTTATTTCTCGAGTTGGACTTGACGGCCAGCCCACGAGAAAAGGAGGCAGCCTCCAGCTTGCGGGAAAGAGGGCAGAAGCCCTCTTGGGTTGTACAATTTGGGAGAGGGTGTCAGTCAGCCTGGCGCTGGGTCAGGTTTCTGTCTCGCATTTCAGATGCGTGGGCTGCGCTGCCCTGGCAGTAACACTTGTGGCTCCCCCGGCTGAGCGCGCGCCTCCCATGGGCTCACCATTGCTCTGGACTCCCCTCCTGTATTTTGTCTCTTCCTCCTGCACTGAGGATAAGGACCCTCAGAAGACCACAGGCTATTCTTGCCTGGACACCCAGAACTTAAAATTGAGTGATGATGCAATAAAAAGCTCTAGTTTTACACCTCGTTAGGACGCATGTATAGAAGAAATCTGACCTTTAATCAGAATAGAAATGCTCTTCTAGGTGAACAACAAAAAATTTTTAGAAAAAAAAATTATCAGTCTTAGTCTCAAGAGTCGTTTTTTGAGACCAACAGCCTCACAAAATACCACGTTGTGGAAATGAAAGGACAAGAGCTACTACCAGCCTGGCCGGCTGCTCAGTGGTTAGAGCGACAACCCCTGAAGTGAAGGGTCAGGTTCCATTCTGATCAAGGGCACGAACCTCCATTGCAGGCTCAATCCCACCCCGCTTGGGGCGGTGTGGGAGGCAACCAATTGATGTGTCTCTCTCACATTGATGTTTCTCTCTCTGTGTCTCTCCCCCTCCCTTCCGCTCTCTCTAATCATCAATGGGAGAAAAAGATCCTTGGGTGAGGATTAACTACAACAACAAAAAAGCTACTACCATTTATTGAACAACTACTGGGTGTTCCTGGTGAACATCCTCTGACTTTGTCCTCACAACCCATCCATGGGTGTCTTCCATGAACAGGCACTGCACCAGGTGGCTCGGATTATAAATGGAAGGAGGAGGGTGGAGGTCCCAGGCCTCAGGCAACGTGCAGTGTACCCAAAAGTGGGTACAATTTGCAAAGGAGGATTTACAATAGGTAACTGGCCCTTGGTTATGCCCATATCAGTTGATCCACTACTACACGCCCCCCTCCCCCTTAAATACAGTAGGATTTCAGTGTTAACATCTGCTTCACCTTCTACTTAGGGAAAACAGAATGAAACCAAGGATTGCTACCTATAAACAAACTGCAAGAACTAAACCTAACAGGTAAATTGAACAGGCGTAAAACTAACAGCGATAAGGATTCTGGTAACACATGCATTAAATCAAAGACCACATTCCTCAAAATTCAAATGTAAGGATATTAGTAGTTATAAGATATGATAATATGTAATATCTCTTAAGAAATAGATATTCTTTCTATTTTTAAATTTTAACATTTTTATATGCATTCCTGTCATGCTCGTCACTGTTAACCTCTATGTGAGGAGTAATTAAAGCTTGACTTACATTTCAAAATGGCACAGAATAGCAGAGCTCTAAAGGACTACCTCCAACCTCTTCATTTACAAGAAATAAGGAAAGAGTCTCAGGTTCCCATCATGAGTGGATGGCTGGCAAGACCAGAAATCAGAGCCCAAATCTCCCAACCAATTATCTTCTAAATAGTATACTGTATGTCTAACAAACCCCTGGCTAATTCACATATAATTCTCCAGAGAAGCTCTTCAGCTGCAACATACAACTGAAGCCTAAATTTATGTGTGTATGTGTGTGTGAGGGGGGGGGGGGGGGGGGGGGTGGAGACTAGTCAATAAAAACATTTCTAACTGAATGTCTCAATTTATTTAACATGAGTTACAGGTATTTTGATCCTCCCAATAAAACTCATCAACTCTACCCACTATACTACCCAAACCCATGTTTAGAGAATGTGGGCTGAAAAAAAATCCAGCAGGTGGTCTCTCTTTTCACACGCAGAGTGCATGGAAGGCATCTTACAAATACGAAATCATGCTTTGCATGAACAAAAAATGATTCCTAAAAGGCATCACTTAGTAAAATTTTTTTTCTTTTTTGCTGCTTGTTTTTATGTTTTTCCACATAAATATTTCCTGTATTTTCTTTCAAGTATACCAGTGCTTTCACAGAATTTAGATTTTTCTCCTTAACTAGAGGCACTATTCAATTTCCATGTCCTTGGAGTGTTTTATCTGGGGATTAGACAACTGTACCAAAACACAGCTGTTCCATTTTTTTTTCTCCTTTATTTTTCACATTAAAAAATTCTCCCACTATCAGCCAGTCCAATTAGTTACTCACTATCAAAAGCCGGCTTTGGTCTTTCATGTTCTGGAAAACTGGATCCAAGTGACAGGGTGTCATGGAAACTGTATCTCGGGTCATTTCCTGTTTCAATTGTTTAGCCACCAAAAAAAGAAGAAAAAAGTTCAGCTCTATCAGATGGAAATTAATGAATGCTTGCTGTTGCTTTTGAAGAGCATGCAACTAAATGAAAAAGTAATTATCCTTTTTGACCAAGTTTTCCCACCAACACCAAGGAATAAGGGGAGATCAGTGCACCCGAAATGGGAAAAGAAAAGTGCTTTGAATGATGCAATGAACCTAGCCTTTTTCAGTTCAGTTCCATAGTTCAGTGGTCAGTTTTAAGGCTGTCCTTGGGTTTGAGAAAAGTAACTACAGGTTAAGTGGTTTTAATTGTAGTTAACGTTGTTCTTACTCTTCAACAAAATTTTAACCTCCTCCTCACCTAATTCTACTTAACCCAAATTTGGTTTGTTTGTTAACCCTCACCAGAGGATTTTTTTTTTCCATTAAGTTTTTAGAGAGAGTGAAAGGTAGGGGGGAGAGACAGAGAGAGAGAACCATCGATGTGAGAGAGATACATCCGTTAACTGCCTCCCACATACACTCCAACCCCCAAACTGGGGCTGGAGGATCAAGCCTGCAACCAAGGTACATGCCCTTGCCGGGAATCGACCCTGTGACCCTGTAATCCACAGTCTGATGCTCTATCCACAGCCAAACCGGCTAGGGCATACTTCACCCAAATTTTGACATTAACTAGACAGAGCTGGTATTCTCCCTCTTTGACCTGAAATCCCCTCCACGTAAGGGGGATGTGTAAATGAAACAAAAACTGTAATATAATCTGAAAAGCTTTCTTGCTGTATTTATTCTCTGCTAACAAAAGAAATACACACACACACACACACACACACACACATACATAAGAGTGCGAGAGAGGAAAGTAGAGCTTAAGGCCTACAAGCAATACCAGACGAGCACATGTGTTTAGGAAATGAAGTCCTGGCTGGAATTCAGTAATAATGAGCCCCTCAGTGATCTAATGTACACCAGCGTACACTGCGGTGGAAACAGAGTGGCAGGCAGGACAATAAGGAACTCAACCCGTGTTTAATACGTTTCAGCTCTGTCTAAATAACTGCTGGCAAAAAACCGGGAAGCGATACAACAAATCAATTTTAGGGCTCAAGAGGATTTGCTCAAATAGAAGATAGCTATGAAGTGCACATTACAGGGTCAGTTCACAGCTCCATTACGGGGAAGGCGCCCACTTGCAATGCTGTCCTTTTTAGGTTGTGATCTCTCCTCTCTATTCCAAAACAGGAAATATCTGTGCTGCTTCTTTTTCTTAGATGTAAAGAAGAAAGCAACTGGAAGACATCCCCCAAACCAATGAACTTTAAATATTATTCAAGTAAGCTAAGCCTTATATTAGTTATATCTAAATTACTATTTGGACAATTTGGAGAAGGTGGTAAAGGAAAAAAAGGGACACCTTTTAGCAATGACCCCGAGTTCTAGACCTTTAACCTGTCATAAAGTCACTGTGTTTATTTAATCAGTGCCAGGAAAGATGCATCTAGGCCAGTGATGGCGAACCTTTTGAGCTCGGGGTGTCAGCATTTTGAAAAACCCTAACTTAACTCTGGTGCCGTGTCACACATAGAAATTTTTTGATATTTGCAACCATAGTAAAACAAAGACTTATATTTTTGATATTTATTTTATATATTTAAATGCCATTTAACAAAGAAAAATCAACCAAAAAAATGAGTTTGCGTGTCACCTCTGACACGCGTGTCATAGGTTCGCCATCACTGATCTAGGCCAACCTTGTGCACAGTTTCTCTCCTAATCGCTCACACATGCTGCCCAGTTCCTCTCTCTAAATCTACACGAATGCCCTTAAGACACCAACTATGTTTTATTAAAAATAAGGTGGAGCTGATGATTTCTAACTGGTAGTTGCTTCTATTTCTTTTTTGTTAGCCTTTGAGGAAAGGAGAATATCCATAATTCTATACCTTTTGGGGAGAAAAGATCCTAATTTAGGAAAGTTACTGGTAGGCAATCTTTCGAAGTGTTTATATTATATTCACTACGGTTTGATTTTTATGTACACAAAACAACAGAAGTAGAAGTAATTTCACCAGAGATAATATTTGCCAGAGGTAGAAGTTATTTCTAGAAGCCATTCAGATAGTATTTTCTTAAAGAAAAACCAGTTAAAATATGGAAGTAACTGCTGAAGGCATCAACACAAAAGGCATAAATCAGTTCAAAGGGTGAACCGAGACTAAAATACATCCAAGAATACAGCTACAAACCAGACTTGAAGGCCTCTGGTCATGATGCGTGAAGTTGGTTCTATCCCAAGAGAAACAATACATAAAATAAAGATGGAGCTGGTACAAGGGGTTGTGAACTGTAAGAGAGGCAAGAAATACAGTATCAAGACAGACCATTTTTATATTCTGGTCATAACTCACTACTTTTCTTTTAATTTCTTTACCCTAGGAAATACAATGTTAGTGCGCTCATTGCACTTTCTACCTTACTTATTTAAATGGAAGGGGAGGAAATAGAGACTCTTAGTTTGTAAGGAGCAGCTCAATTACAGAAGAATTCTAATAAACTTTCACTGTCTCTACAGGAATAGGTTAATTCTTGACATTGGTGGATGAACTTCAATAGTGGATTCGGTGAAAATTTCAACTCCGGGTTGTATCTGCTTTGTTTGCATGCCCAAGCAAAGGTATTATTTAGAATATAGCAGCGGTTCTCAACCTGTGGGTCGCGACCCCCTGTGGGTCGCCTAAGACCATCAGAAAACACATATATAATTACATATTGTTTTCGTGATTAATCACTATGCTTTAATTATGTTCAATTTGTAACAATGAAATTGGGGGTCACCACAACATGAGGAACTGTATTAAAGGGTTGCAGCATTAGGAAGGTTGAGAACCACTGGAATATAGGTAAATGTATTAGGCACCTTCAATGTCACAGATACAATGCTGTAACACTTTTGGACAGTGAAAGCATACTACTGTGAAACAGACATGTATGCTGCTTATTGGACATCCCGAGTGCTCTACCACACACCCAGGTCCTTTCCAGGTAGGTGGGGATCATACGATCAAGCATGGCCAATGGGTTGTGGTCGGATGTGACCTGTGACAGTGAACAGACACCCAGGACTTCAAGATGGCATCAGTGATACCAGTAATGAAGAAGAAACTCATGGACGTCAAAACAGGGGGAGCTGCCAAGCTGGATAGTGATGCAGGTTTCACCCCTAAAGGCATCGTTGGAGCATTTCAAAGCTGTTGCTACCCGTATTACCAAAAGTATGTCACTGTGAAGGAAGAGGGCATCTCTGGGGTTTCTAAGGTGCGGGCAGCTCACATGTTTAACTGCTGCCTTTCTTACAAGGAACTCAAATGTGAATAATTACACAAGCACCACAGAAGAGGAGAGGACTACCCTGTATTCCTGACCATGACCTTCTTTGCCTTTAGGAACATGATCATTACTGAATCCTTTCATAGCCTAATTGAGAATTAATGCCCCCAAAAGATGACTGGCATGTGTAAAAAAAATCTACTTGTCACTGCCTACAAAATGAAGGCGAGTCCTCTGTGTCTGTCTTGCCCTGTTAAGGCAAACCTAGAAGTCACAAGTTGAGATGTCAAGGTATCAAGATAGAGAAAAGACACATCAATCCCTAGGACACATTCATTAAACAAGTAATCTGTGTACACTGAGATGTAGGGATTTTTTTTCAGTACTGCAGCCTGTCCTAGGCCAGGATTCTTAGCTTTTATGTGTGTCCTGAAGCCCAGGGATAGGGCAGTTAAGTATGTGACGCTCTTCTCGGAATAGTGTATTTAAATGCACCAAATAAAACACACAGGACTGTAAAGAACACCAATTACAAAATGTTTTTTAACTTATGATATATATTTTTTGCATGCTTCTTTATTAATGCACTAGAGGTCCCGATGCATGAAATTCGTGCAAGAGTAGGCCTTCCTTCCCCCGGCTGCCGGCACCAGCTTTCCTCCAGCACCCAGGACCCAGGCTTCCCTCGCAGCCCTGGCTTCATCCGGAAGGTCATCCAGAAGGACGTCTGGTCTAATTAGCATATTACGTTTTTATTATTATAGGCTAGTCAACAAGATAAGATCCAGCAGTGTTTCTAACAACTACTATAATTTCAAAGTTGTAAGGATCATGTCATTTCAACTTATCTATGATACTTAAAACAAGTTATATCTTTGATATGTTTTGATGACAAAGTCCCGGGTACGGCCAATACTATTAGGATTTATTGTCTACATCATCATGGAACAAGATGCCAAATTTCTGTTAGAGGTTTGTGTTATAATTCTTTTTGAATTCTATGGAGCACAGAATAAGAACCCCTGAGTTTTACCCTTTCCTGATTAATACAACCATACTACAAACTCACAAGCTGAGTTCTACTGGGCTGTCTAGAGTTGAGTGTACTGCAGTGTGTGGGGCATGTTCTTCTGTGGCTTTTCTTCTGCCACTGAGTTTCTATCATTTATTCTGTGTTCTCACCAATTGTTTTCAACATAACGGCAACTAACTAAAGTATCATTCAGGCTGTTAAAATGCAATTTTATGGAAGCTTAGGTGCCCTTCAAGGCAACGAAAACTGATAAAAATCAGCCCACAAAAAGGGACTGGTCAAGGCTTTTGACATCATAAACACACCCAGTCTGGGAAAACTCACCAACAGTTGTACAAAAGGCAGCTGATAAAATACTCTGTCCAGAGACTTGTCATGACTTCAAGAAACATGAAGACACATGGAGATAGCCAATACAGGATGCTGGGGTCACTAGGTCAGAATGCCATCCAGTCCTCAGCTGGTCAGCCCTACACACTGTATCCCTGGGTACACAACAGGAAGGTGTATCCCAAACTAATTGGGATGTCAGGTCTATTTAATAAGCCTATGAAGGCTGGGTAAAACAAGACTGAAATAATTCATACATCTTAAGTCATTCCTCTATTCTATAAGTTGGGGAGAGAGAGAGAGAGAGAGAGAGAGAGAGAGAGAGAGAGAGAGACATTAACATAACATAAACCATCACTGCACTTTCTTAAATCATCCTAGCATAGTAGTCAACACCTTACTCAAAAGTATGTGACACAGTAGACAACTGAGCTCTCAGCCCTGATAG